ATAACAATAATAACAACATAACATTATTATTCTGTCTACGGGGCAAGGATATATTAATATTTACATTCTCTTTTATGAAATCACCAACTCATATTTCTATCTCTCCCAAGTCTCAGTCGATATACAGTTGTCGAGCAATAATAACATGGTCGGGAGGGGGTGGATTTCGTGGTTCATGGTCATTATGTTTGTATATATGTATGCAGTTACCACCCGTCGTCGTATCGTATTCGTCGATCCCGGAGATTGTGTATGACCGCGGTTATCTGTCACTTGTGGTCGTGGTCGCATACACCCGCCCACCCACATAGATACAATAGTTGCTCATCCCTCGTCTATTCCGTAGTGAACGTGTGAACGTGTTCGGCGTTCGCCGTCGTACTAGCTAGAGTGCGTAGGTACAATAGAAAATTGTGCGGTCGCAGAACTGTCAAACACTCTGACTGTGTCATTTTTGTGTAGTACAATTCTTCGGTTCCGAGAGGATAGGTACACGCACGATATAAATACAAAGCGTTTCATAAAGAATGCACAGATTTGTGATCGAAAGTTGTTGTAGCAAATTGAAAATTTGAGTTCAACAGAAGCACATATTATAATCTTGTATTCTTGTGCAGTTGTTAGATTTTAATTTTATATTGAACTCGGCTATTAAAAGTGAGGTTATTATAATACAAGCAGTGTCATATATAGGAATTATTTTCACTATGGGCCAATTTATCACTAGTCAAGCATAGCACGATTAACATAGCCATAACTTTACATTTTTTTATGAGCTGGGTGGTTATAATTATACCATATACAATACTAATAGAAATTGCGCAATTTAATTTTATAATTGTTATGCAAAATTAAATTTTAGATTCTTTTTTAAAAATATTGACAGTTTCATATTATATATATATAATATATATTTTAATGTTATCTTACTATGAATTTAACATCAAAGTCATTAAAACGATTCCTATTTCCTGACAATCTAACATTTTCTTGTTGATTCCTCATAAACGATTTTAATCATGGTGAAAAACTGTAAACAGTGTAGATATACATTATACAAGCAATGCTTTAATTGAACCTGCAATTTCACTATGGGCTCTGGCCTAGGGGGCCTGCCCCTATATACGCCACTGAATATAAGTATATATAGATATATATTATATAAATCGTCATATCACAATGTAAAATATATCATTGATATTCGATAAGCACATAACAGCGACGTAATCTTTACAGAATAAATATTGTTATTAGGTGTACATTATATATTATATACTAGCTGATCCCGTGCACTTCGTTTCCCGTTAAATGTACCTTTCAATTCTATATGACTCAAACTTTGTTTCAATTCGTTATTTAATATTCGGCGTATGGTGTTCAAAATTGGTCTTAACTTTTCCGTTGCCCGAAATAAAAATTCTGATTTGCAGCAGTTAATTATCAGGTAGGCAATCTACCTGCTGTAGATCGAGGACCCCCTTCTGTTTGTACTTAAGTGTATGATTTAACTCTATAGTATCAACGTGATACAAAGTTTGTCGTTTTTACTTCATTCCACTTACGGTGGATTAATATAATCAATTTATACAAAATAAAATCATATCCTAACCTTAGTTAAATCCGATGAATAAAAAAAACAAGTTTAACCCTTTGTAAATTAACCTATCTTCTTCCCAGAGAGAGGTCTAATCTACCCACAAACATTAATGTTTATATATATATCAAACTAAATAAATACAGAGACTATAACTATACAGACTAAACTCTGGAACTACTTATATCAACAAACATGCCCGATTAACCAATAGCAACCAATGTATTATGCGCCGGTGGATTTTCCTAAAATGTTCTTTCATATAAAACTTTTCCTTGAAATACTCTTTCGTTTAAAAAAAAATTAAGAAGATCTGATAAGTAGTTCCAGAGTTCAGCCTGTACAGAGATTTTCATTTTACATTTTTATAGTTGGATATTATATTAAATCTGTCAAGAAATTCCATCACTGGATGGATTCTTCTCTCAAGTCTCCAACCCATCAACTCCCACGACGCATATTATACAGATTGTATAATAAATTAATGTAACACGAAAAAAAAGGATATTATATTATAATTTATATTTAAAAAGTAAAGCAAATAGTTTTTTTTTTTTTTTATTATTATTATTAACATTAAAAACTCATGGCAACCATCTCAAAATTCCCGTTTGAGCACCTTCCGGGGTTGGTCCTCTCCCTTTTTAAATTAGCCTATCTTTTAAGTTGGACCAAATTACACAGAGTGTAAAAATTTAATCAAGATCGGTCCAGTAGTTTCGGTGTTGATCCCGGACAAACACTTGACACGAGATTTTTATATAGGTATATAATTATATAAGATTGTGTATATCATAATATTATTTTTTTAGAAGGTCAAGTGGTGAAACATTATGGCCAGGCTTATATCATTATATAATTATGAACTATAAAATATATCCTTTATATAGGTAGGTACATACCTCCATTTTTAATCAATAAAATTAACTTAATAATAATAACAATAATACAAATTATTTTAAAACGTATTTTTAATATTTCAAATAAGCCTTGTCAATCCAATCCAATGAGCTTATTTGTAATTTCACGCAACTCGGGGTCATAGACATTTAATATCTAGTGGGCGTATTTGTACAACTCACGACACACCATTTTGGGCCCTGTGGCTGGTAATCCTGGTCCTCGTAATTCGGAAGGCTCAGCAAAATTGAATATCATAAATTCCAATCATATTTTAATATCATACAATAATATATGAATATTATATGATATTTTATCACCAACCGGTCAATGTACCTGTAATACAGCATTGGTATCGGATCTGTGCCGAAATTCGTATAAAATCCGGGTAAAGAAAATTTATTTTAGGTCCGTCTTTGACTGTATTTTTTAGATCATCTTCCTGCAACAAGCACGATTGGAATTTTGGGAGATTTAGGACAACATCGAGGACATCCGGACAGGGTGCACGTGGTCCCCACTATGGTAGGCAGAGATAATTTTAGTATTCGCGCTTAAACTTTGCTAATTTATTTAAACTTTTAAGTTCTGCTCTGTAAATCGTACATTGGGAAGGTGGGTCGGGTGAAGAAATAATATTTTTTTAACCACTTTTCACTAACTAAACTTTAATTACATAAGTCTAATGATAATCACATAATATTATATAGGTAATCACTGTCACATATATCAGTTCTAGGGCTCAGCTATCAATGCATTTGCATCTGTTTTCTGGAATGCTGGACACGATGCTTGCCAAGATACAAATGTGTTTTAAGTACCATACTATAGCATATATGCTAATTGCGAACTTTCTTTTTCAAGTGCGTTTAAAACCTAGGCATATGTATAATTAATTAAAAAAAAATTATTATGTAACTTACAAATATATACAAAATTGTTATGAATTATTTATGATAAGTACCTATTACACCAATAAGACGTCACTACAATTATTTATAGTGGACAAGTAGTCACCTTCTACATAAAGGGGATTCGTTTCACCGATCTTATTTGTTTGTAAATTAGGAAATAGACACTTAACCGTAAATACATGTGTACACTTATATACTTTGTAATATACATACACATTGGATTTAGGGTGTGTTTTTCGCACGTAAAACAGCGATTATTAATTATTCCAAGTGATACTTCAGAAAGAACAATATTTTCAAATAATATTCTGTAATAGTCAGCGTGTGTAATAATACGACTGTGGTGTGTGAAAGCATTAATAATGTATCTTAATGCTTTGAGTTAAAAATTAAATTACAAAATTAAGTCAAACGTATACTATAGTGTCTGTCACAATAATTCATATCACTGTATACGATTGCAGCATACGCCAATGGTGGTTTTAATAGTATTTCTTTTCTTGAGCTCCTACGCACGTACAAAGTGATCATTTACAATGAAATAAATATTTTATATTTCTTACTGTCGGTACGGCGTGGTGCACTAATCAAAACAGGCATCGTATAAAAAAATAAATGCTTACATTTTTATTACAATTCATTCAACGTCAAAATTATGGAGTTCTAATGATATATAATACTATTATAGTAACTAAAATCTGATTGATAAGACTAAACACATTCACTCCTTTGTTGAGCTATTGTAAACTCGTTTGGTACAACTGAACTGCAGTTAGTTTAACTATTATTGGTTAAGTAAGGCGTTTCACTCAGAAGCCGTTCGAATGCAACCACTACGTCGATGTACCGAAATTGCCTATATACCACGCCGACTAACGTTTGTACATTATAATATATTACTTGTGGTAAAAAGGTTGTTGTTAAAACGTACGAACGAGAATAACAGCAATCAAATAGTTTTGTAAGCAGAGCAGTGCTAAAACAACTATACCATAGCAGTATAGCATTCGGAGTGCGTGTTTTACACTGATGGAGAATTTGATAGACATTTTCTCGCTAGTGAGGATATTTTCATATATTTATCATACTTATTATTGAAATACAAAATATTCAAAGAAATCACTATAATGCAAGATAAATGTTGTTAACTTTTCAAAATATTTTAAATACTGAATAAATGAACAATGTACATAATAATAATAATATTAATAATAATAAAAATAATAATAATAATAATAACAATAATAATAATAATAATAATAATAATAATAATAATAATAATAATAATAATAATAATATTAATAATGATAATAATAACAATAATAATAGTAATAATAATACGACGGTCGACCATTCACGACGAAACCATGAAAACGAATTTGTTTATACATGTGCATGATGACTGTAATTTGTATACTTAAAAATGGTAGTTTGTAATTAGATTTTGTCAGACGAGCATAGTTTTGAGTTATTCAACGTACACGTGATTTCACACAGACAACATTCCATATATCAACATATTTTTTTAAAATACATAAAAATAAAACATCATCGCAACTTAATTAATACTCTTCCTTATCATAACGATTGCGATGGACAACGACAATAGCATCTCTTTATACTGTGGAAATCGCTGTGGTTCTGGCCGACTGATGTTCCGAACTGAACTGCAGGGATGCGGCTGTCGTCAAGTTAATAGCTGGGAATCGAACGCACACGATTTGAACTGCAGAGAGTAACTTATCTATATTATAAATGATAATATTAATAAGCTTAGTGCGTAATGCTAAATTTTTATGAAAATTATTCTTACAAAATTTTCGAAATATAGGTAATAATAATAATAATTTAAAATCGAAACCCGTACGTGTAAGCGTGTTCGATACGTGTTCCCGAATGCGATAATCTATTTAATATAATGTAATATTATATACTCTGTATATATCGAGAACGCATGAACTAACAATATGCATTCCAACAGAGATCTTTTCTTTTTTTTTTGTAAGAATTTCGTAACGAGACGATTTTTTTAGACGGGTTTCGAGCGTTTTATGGCCAAAAATGCATAGTAATAATATATTATACTGCTTTTGATGTCATGCCAACGATATTATTTGAGGGTCGATCCACCCGAGAATAATCACTCCACGGGAATGCGGCTATGTTGGGCCTGGGGTGTGACAATACTCTCGCCTTACCCCCCCCCCCCCCAAAGCATCCTTCCAGTCTGGTCCCTTAATCGCATCGATTCGAAAATAATCGGAATATGTCTTATATAGTGTGATATAAGTTTATAATATTATCACACTGCTGATTTAAACTTATTGTCGTGTTTTTAAACTGAATGTTATTACAAAATTTCGTGCATGATACTTTAAACCAGTATTACTAGAATTTACTAAGTAGGTACGCTCGTATTATTATAAGTGCCTGAAGGTTTGAGTGTATCACGAGCACAAATATTTCCGAGCACTCGTTTAACTATTCTCACTGCATATTAAGTTTTCCCCGTATCACTCACAAGGGTTTTCATCCAGGAACTTTTGATTTTACGGTTTTTTTGGATCTCGGTGCCACATAATCCGCCGGGTGCCTTCTGGCTTCTATTTCCACTTTTTACTTTCTAATTTTAAATCTCAACCACGGTCGCGTACTCCATTACGCGCCATTATTCTTACCATTATTTCTACTGCGTTATAGTATTATCGTCTTCATGATAATACTATTATGTTATTTGTCGCTAATATTTTGGCCACCGTAAATTACCGCCCACGCGTCCTCTCGACGACGGTCGGGAAGTTTCGCTGCAAATAAAGAATATATAATAATCAGCCAGCGGGTGTGTGTTATCATTGGACAGGAACACTGGAGGGCCGAGTCGCGTCGCCACCGCAAACAACCGAGGGCATCCCCGGAGCGTCGGCGCTAGTGGAGACTCGGACCCGGCGCCAGTGGAGTCACGACCCTCCGCGCCCGAGCCCAGCAAAGTGCTCCTCGTGCACGGGCTGGATCGCGTACCCGTCAATTGCGACCGGGTGTTCAACCTGTTCTGCCTGTACGGGAATGTGACGACGGTGAAGATCCTGAGGGACGACAAGGTGCTCGTCGAGCTGGAGGACGCGGAAGCCGCCAGACGGTGCGTGTCCAACTTGCACATGCTCCAGCTGGACGACGAGGTCCACATGAAAGTCAAGTGAGTCCATGAGATAGAGTCTACTCGATAGAGTACTGATTTGGGAGCACTACGATCTTGAGAGTATAGAGATACGCCTCGGGTTTTGGCCGATTGGAAGTCTTGACTGCGGTGGACTTCCTATACCATAGTTATATTGTATGTGGAGAAAATATAATTAGCGAGACAGTTATTATTAATGTGATTCGTAAACCATAATATCAATATTACGATTGTGGTGGTAAAACGATCACGCCGTATAGTGTATATTATTTCGGGTGATTCTTTTATCATCAAAAGTTCATTATTTCAAAATGTATAATAAATGTATTGAAAAAATTGTTTACATACCTAGTTTTACTAGTCCTTAAAATATAAAATTTAAAAATATAATTTTATATTAAAAACTCGAAACTGACCGCTGACCGTAAGCTATAAGTAGGTAATGACGTGACAAATCTATTGAATCGCCTCGTCGCCGAGATTTCCAAGTCATATAATACTTAACTGTACTCTGTAGTCTGTAGTACTATTAACTGTTATATATATGAGTCTTTTGAATCTATATAGTATACTGCCACCATCGGTCGACCGTTTTCCAATTTACTGTTTCGACCGTTTTAGGTATTCCAAGCATAATTTTATCCACGATCAAGTCAATTTTAACAAACTGGCTGACGGTACACCTGCTCAAAAAGTTTACTTATCGAGCACATTGAACAGATTTATCCCAAACGTATCGAGTCCGGACAAACGTCGTATCGCAGCTCCATCCAAAGTAAGCAAACGTTGAGTTACATATTTGAAAGGTGTAAAAATTGCACAATAAAATTGTACAGCTAATCGTTGCTATACTTATAAATAAATTGCACGGTCGCAACAGGGTAATAATTTTTCTAAAAATATCCACTATTGTCTGTTGTACTCTAATAGTCTAATGATATGATATTGGTATTTATAAAGTACGTAGGTACTATTATTGCAATTTTGTACATATATTTAATAATTATAAATAATTATTACAAAATATTTTTTCTCCAAAAAAAAAATCGTCTAGAGGAGTAGTTACATTTCTGAATATATCGTCAGTTTTTATATTCAGATTTTTGTTTTTCAGATTTTACATTTTTTTAACGCGCCGACCGACGTTTGTGGCATAGCAGTTCACAGAGCCGTATCGGACGCCCTTTGTCGTACGGACGCAATACGTTCCATAACTATCCGTATGCATTATTGTCGGGTTTCGAAGATTTTGCACCACTGATTTACCGTTTTTCTTAATCTGTCGTTTTCAGTCCCCAAAAAACCGAAAGCCAAGTGTTCGACGGGTTTGATCGAATTGAAGAGTATGGCGCTGGCCGCGAGGACCGTTTTACTGTCGAACCACATGACGATTGAATCGACAGGTGAATATGTATTATAGTAATATATTAAACAATATACGCATAAAAAATCCAATAAAATATATCGTAAAATATTATTGATACAATGTTATCGGTATTGTATTGTATTCATACTTTATTAGTAGAACAGAGTAGGGTTTAAAGGGTAGGGGGAAATGACTAGGTACCTATGTAATACTGCATTTAATACTACCAAGTTAAAAAAAATCATTTCACAAAATATACTAGTCTTATTTTAATTTGTAATTCAGTATTTGTATTTGACTTATTGTCACATCGGCTTTATATTATCTTTATACGTCGGTTGGAATCTGGGTAATATCTAACTTGTCAAAGTTGTAATCTACGTCTGTAATAACATTTTAGTTTGGTTTTCTCAAGGTTTCTTTCGTCCAAGTTTTCATCTCGTAATTTGCTGTAGCCCGTAGAAATGGATATATAACGTACCCACATTTTCAACGACCGACAATAGCTATATTGGATGTCCACGACGTCCTATGGTTGTTAGGTGGGGATGAGGAGGAGGAGAAAAGGCATATACGACTTTTCAAGGCGTAGCGGGATTGGGGGTTAGGGATGTGATCCGTTCGCCTAAAATAATACGTTTGTTTTTCGGCCAAAACCGTTTGCAGTGTCTAGATTTCCGTTTTTGACGAAACTGTGTTTTTCGAAATGGTCCGAGATCGAGGAGAAAGCTGGTGACTTGGCGACGTTGCGGTTCTGCTCGGTGCCGCGCACGCCGTGGCTGCTGCACAAGTCCGAACACGGTGTACCGACGACGGAGTTTCCGATTTCGTGCACGACCGTGGTGAACGGCTGTGGCGGTGGCGACTGTGCGTGGACTTTGTGGGTGCTGAACGGCGCTCAGAAGCAGTGGCCGCACCAGGAGCGGGAGAGGAAGGAGCAGGAACCGGAAACGGAGCGGGATGAGGAACGTGAGCAGCAGATGGCGCCACCACCGGCTGAAGAGTCGGAAGAGTCGGAGTCGGCGGTCGGGACAGACGCAGAAATCGTCCACGACCAGCCGCACACGTGCACGTCGGCCCCGATGGACCGCCGCGAACCGATTGTCGCCGACGACGACGACTCGGTGGTCGTGGACCTCATCGGCATGTTGAGGAACTGTCTGTGTGACATCAGCAACGACCGAGGAGACGTCTTGTGCGGTGCGGCGGCGATGCGGACCGAACACGATAACGCTGACGTCGTGACCGCTGCTGCTGCTGCCGCCGACGTCGCGAGTCAAACGGGCCCGCTGGGTGACGCCTAACGAGGGAGTTCGACAGGATATTTTCGACGTCCCGGCCAACTGTTTTTATTGCATACTATTATTTTTCCGCAATTTTTTTTATCCAGAGGACGAGAATTCAAGCTCTACACATTCGCGGACCCAGAAATGAATCGTAAAAAATAACTCGCTCCGACATGATGTGGTAACATTATTCGCAACAAATCGGCCACACACTTGCTCGCGATCTTGGCTGGTGTCGGGCCGTTTCGAAAAACACGATATACAAACGGAAAGTCGAATTGATGTTTTGTTTCGATTTTTGACGAGGAATGTGTGGTACTTGAGCGAAAAAAAACAGCACACACTTTCTACAATTTTCCGTCGGCCTCGTCATCAAGCACACGTCATTCGTCCCGAGCCCGTTCGCTGTCAACTTTTCGATTTTATTGTCAAATAAAAACATTTGTTTAAATAAAACCTTTGTAATAATATTATATTATGTTACAATATTGTCAGTTGTCACACTATATTATAATATTGCATTAGTCGAACGGCGGTTGTAGACGACGAGTACAAATCACAGTTATAGGTTAGGTATTAATATGTGTTTTTTGTAATGATTAAAGGATGTTTCTTTTGATAAATATGTCAAAAATGAATAATAATTAATATAATATTATCGAGAACATTTTTTAAAAGTTATAAACTATTTCGACTGTACTCGTGGCGCCATCGGACGGTTTCCTATCCGACTGTTGTTTTGGCCTTTGGTACATTTTTCGCCGTTAGAATTCGCTTGATGAATAAATAAACGATGGTTTTTATTATAAAATATTGTGTAACAATATTATAATATTATATTAGATGGTACATATCTAGTAAATTCTAATAACTATAATTATTTAATAATTCAGAAAGATGTTAATATACAATTTGTCAAGAAACAATATGTATTCTATGCTAGAAAATGTACACACATATCCGTTATTATAGTTATTCCTATTAAAGTAGAATATTTCAAGACTAACTAAAAAAAAAAATAAGTTTTGTTAAAGAAATTGTTGATGGAATTTTTCAGGGACTTAATCTTAGATAAGAATATATTATTTTTGAGGTACCCAATTAAATAATATAAAACTTTTAAGTACATCAATATTATTATATTATTTTTGTATGTACAAATAATATAAAAGCTAAATAAAAATATTACATTTTATTGAAAATTATATGTTGATATTTGTTTAATAATAATGAATAAGGTGATAATAGTTATATTTTATTTTGGTTAAAAAAAGTTGGGTGTTATTTTGTTGAACATAAATACCCGCATTAATGAGCGAAATTAAACGTAGGTAGGCTTACACATTTTATTTTAAGGAATAAGGATTCAAAGCGTTTAGAACGTGCAGATAGGAGGTAGGTAATGAAGAATTTTCTCAAAACTTTTAACCGAAGCAGAAAAAGTTAAACAAAACGAATAACCAGAATAGTATGTATTATTTGATCAATGAAAGCGAATGTGCATGTGAAAGTACGGTTGTGAGTGCCATTCAAAGTTAGTTAATGAGTTTTTCTTTTTATGGATGAAGGAATCTGCGGGAAAAAAACGCCATTATAATATTATTTCAAAACGCATTAGATGTTACATTGAAACTCCGAACTCGCATATGCAGAGTAAAGTCAAACCGGACCAATGAGAGTTTCCATTAATGACAGGTCTTCGGATTACTGAACAAAAAGAAAACCTTATTTGAAATATAAATATTATATACCTACATATTCTCGAATCCTAATTAATGTTAAATATATAGTTCTAGTTGGATACGAAAAATAATATAAAAGAAAGAAAATAACCAATTAACAAACATTATAAATTGGTTTATGTTAGGTTACAAAATGTATGCTAGGTCGATAACCTAGGGTGTTTTTTTCCATTAACAATTTGGTTCGTTATGGTCTTACGTGTTGTTCCAATTGATATACTTGTGATTTGATTTAATTTTTAACATCGTATTGTATATTATTATATTTTGACTCTTATGGATTTCATTTATGTTTCGTTAACCTTTTTTAGACCTAACCACAGTTTAATATACAGTGGAACCTCGATAAGTCGAACCTCGATAAGTCGAAAACCTTGATAAGTCGAAAAAAATTCCGTCCCCTTGCGAAAAATTCGATTACTCGAAAAAAAAACTATAGATAACTCGAACATTCTGTGCTCCGAATATGACGGATAATGACAGATAATTGTATAAACATTTGTCTAATCGGCTTGTCCGTTCCGATAATTTTATCTAATCTTCATTGTTTCAATGAAGCAAGCAACAGCAGCCCTCATATTGCTAAGGACATTCACCGAACAATTGAGTAATGTGGACGATAAAGTGTACTCTGCTTTAAATGTAATCGAAAATACAATTGATAATAGCAAATCTCAAATTTTAAGTCAAAGTAAAATAATAAATTATCTTTTATAAAGTTGCAACACATGTTTTATTATATTTTTTTGTAATAATTTTTTTATTTAAATAATCTGTATAATCACATTTTTTCACATTGTATGTACATATATACTAGGTACATAATAATTAAAAACTTTATTACATAGGTGCATACATTTTTAAAACTCTTTAAGTCGAATTTTTTTTCTAAAACCTTGATAACTCGAAAACCTTAGTAAGTCGAAAACCTTGATAAGTCGAAAAAATTGCATTTCCCTTGAATTTCGACTTATCGAGGTTCCACTGTATATAATATTTTATTACATTTTAATTGAATCGTTAAGAGTCGGAAACTCTTTTACGGACATGGAATGTGTAGGTCTCTGAATAAGTATATCGGCGTGACTGCGTTTATCAACTTAAAACAACAGACAATTACCCACCGACCCGTTTGTCACGCAAGATTTACAATAGTTTTCCTGCAAGTGTCTATTTCAATCGCAATACCGAAATAAACACAATAAGTGTTTATTTTCACAAGTCACACCGTCTGATTAAAAAAAACCCTCGGACTTGAGCGATAATAACCTTTCGTTTCGCTACAGACAGGTTCGTATTTCGTCTGCAGACCTCGAATGTGAGACCAATGACCGTGATGGGTTTGAAATAAAGTGGTAATCGCAAAGTTAGGAGAGAAAAATATTGCACGCGAACCATATATAGGTTATCGTATATATGGTTTTGTGTATGACGTGCCCTTACGAATTAATATTCAATGATTATATTATCGAGACGTGTCGTTTGGTAATATTACTGCCTGAAATAACATATTATTATAATGACGTCGGACATACGAGATCATAATGCACCACAGAACCTAATCACAGAAGTCAACTAACGCAAGTCCATTTTTTGACATTTTGAGTTATAGTTATATAATCAGAATATGCTTTTTGTGATATTTTTAAAGGTACAAAAACGTACATCATGTATACAATAAATTCATAGATAGCAAGAGGTATACTAACTTAAGTCCTAAACTATGATAGGAGTATAGAAACGTATGTGCAGCTTGATGCATAAGAAAAGCGATACAAAATTATATTTTTGAAGTAGGTATAATATACAATATTGTGAGTAAATTGCAAAAAACATTTTTGTTTTGTCTCTAATGTAAAATTTGCTTTTTGTGACTTGCGTTACTTGACTTTTGTGGTACAGAGTTATATTAGAGCCTTTGTGTCTGAATAACGGCACAGTTTGTTCTGCGATTGGATTCATGGATAATCCATATTATGAACTATGATTATACTACTGCACATAATATCATAATATATTTAATACCCTATACAGCAAAACGAATTGGTTACCTAACTCATCGTTACGATTTAGCCACATAGCGTAGGTACTTAGCACTTCGGAGTTCTGCTGTTTATGGCTATCACTTTTATAATATCGAATGAATGAATTGTTATCAACGTTGAATTTTCGTCCTTAAGACGGGAGCGCCCGCCCGCGATTTGTATTGATTTCCAAAATTCATAAATATTTTAAGGTTGGTTTCCCGTAAAAACTCTTCGTCCGATTCGTTCAATTATAATGATAAATAATTAATCTTAATTAGTGAGGGCGTATTAATCGCGCGGAAACACTGTAATAAAAATTTAATTAAAATCTTATAAAAATGCGAAACAGTGTATTTCTTTTATTTACATATTCTCGCCATCAACGACTACGAGGTCGTTCGACTGATACGATTATAATATTATCTACATTATTTAAGATTATATTAAATCAGTCGGCGGAGATCAGTTTCATTTATATTGCACATTTGATTAGACGGCGTGTGCTGACCAGCCTTGTTGTGAGAAGTTTGTGGAGGAGGATGTGTGGGGTCTTTGGAAGTTTATGATATATTTTGTGTTATAACTCGATATACCGCCGGTATTCGATAAACAGGTAAACTATAACCAGTGTACCGCAGACCGGACATGGTTGTTGATCGTCCTTTGGCCGCGATGTGTCCAAGTGTCATTCAAAGGGAACTTGATCATAACCTTCGTATTTCCAGGGTTATGACAACGAATTGTTATGATAACGATGTCACCGAATGCGAAATGGTTGATAAAATAAGATTTCAAATTGATAACAGTTTTCTATTGACGGAGTATCGACCATTGTAGGCCGATAAATAGTTGAAAACCTCGTCATTGAGTACTTAGGTCACTGGGCTGTCACGGGTGTACCAAAACTGAATTCGACGATTTTACAAAGATCTATTATTGTATTATTTGTATTGGAGACAAACATTCTAAGTGAATGAGACGAGCTCATTTTATATAATTTATTGGCTATTGAGTGTTGATAATGTTTTCTTAATTTGGTGGTCTATTGGTCAAATTTTTACTGACAACATAAACCTTACAAGTCAATTTCGGTGTTAATAATATGTTCGTGATGTAAATTATAGTCATAATTCAAATTTATTTCATGTCTAAAAAATCAAATACAAGTAGTTTTGGTAAAAATTCAAAGCAAGTACCTATAGCAAACTATTACTTTTTGAATTATGACAAAAAAAGAAAATCGTTTTTG